AAAACGTACATCACATATAATAGTTAAACGAACAGCCTAAACGTCACGCTAGTGTAGCCTATATAATGTGTAAAGTTTAATATACTCTAATCCCTTATAGAGATGGCATACGACGAAACACTCATTCGGTATGTAATGCTATTCGAATACAAGAAGGGAAACAACGCCTCTGTAGCCACAAAAAATATCAAAGAAGTTTATGGAAATGTTTTGAACGTTCGTAAGTGTCGACGATGGTTCGGCAAACTTCGTTCAGGTAATTTTAGCCTTAAAAACTGTGATGGCAGGGGCCGATATGTTGGAATTGATATTGATGTTCTGAAGACGCTTTTTGAGTCTAACCCAAGGCAACACACTCGTCAACTGGCCCTGAAATTGCATGTCTTACATGAAACAATACCTAAACATCTAAGGAATATGGGAAACTCCATAAAGAAGGTTTTTGGGTACCTCACGAACTCTCCTGTGATCATAGTTTCTAACGTGTGAATGTTGCTTCGTCTCTATTGGCGCGTAAACCATTTTTGGATAGAATTGTCACCGGTGATGAAAAATGGATTCTCTTTGTGAATATTAAACACCAAAACAATGGGTCAGTCCTACACAAAAATCACTTCCGACCCAAAAACCTGGACTCCATCCGCAGAAAGTGATGCTTCGCATTTGGTGGGACATCAAAGAAGTAATTCATTTTGAACTCCTCAATCCACAGCGAACTGTCAATGCAGAGATCTGTAGTCAGTAGTCTGTTGTCTCTCTCCTGGAAATACCCTGTCTCTTGCTAGGTACAATTTTGTCTCTCTCCTGGAAATACCCTGTCTCTTGCTAGGTACAGTTTTGTCTCTCCTGGAAATACCCTGTCTCTTGCTAGGTACAATTTCGTCTCTCTCCTGGATATATCCTGTCTCTTGCTAGGTACAATTTTGTCTCTCTCCTGGAAATACCGTCTCTTGCTAGGTACAATTTCGTCTCTCTCCTGGAAATATCCTGTCTCTTGCTAGGTACAATTTCGTCTCTCTCCTGGAAATACCCTGTCTCTTGCTAGGTACAATTTTGTCTCTCTCCTGGAAATACCCTGTTGACAACTGGAAATGTGATTTCAAACCCGTTAATTTCTGTCTGCTTAATACGAGTGTGTTAATAATTGATTTCTATAAGATTCACCTTTATTTGAATCAGTCCAAAACGAATATGTTGATAGTTGATTTCTAATAAATTTCGTTGTATTTGAATCAGACCAATGCGATTGTGTTGATAGCTGATTTATAATTGGTTCCACTTTTTATATCAATCCAACACGAATGTTATGATAATTGAATGTTGATAGATTTTATTTTATTTGAATCAGTCCAACAGGAATGTGTTGATAGTTGATTTTTAATAGTTTCCAATTTAATTAAATCGGTCCACACGAATGTGTTGATGGTTTAATGTTCATAGATTCTCTTTTATTTATATCAGTCCAACAGGAATGTGTTGATAGTTGATTTTTAATAGATCCCAATTTAATTAAATCAGTCCACATGAACGTGTTGAATGTTGATAGATTCTATTTTATTTGCCCATTGTGTTGATTGTTAATTTTCAGTAGATTCCAATTTAACTGAATCATTCCATATAAATGTGTTGATAGTTATATTTTGATAGATTCCATTTTATTTGAATCAGCCCAAAAGAAATGCGTTGATAGTTGATTTCTAATAGATTCCACTTTATTGCACAATATGAAATGTGGTGATAATTGATGTGATCATTCTCACTAGGCCAGTTTTTACTTGAATCACTTGACCTATTTTTTTTAGTTGAACATCACAAATTAAAAGTATATTTCACATTCAACTAAGGAATTTTTAGATAAAAAAGAGAGTAAATTTCACCACCCCACTCCATAATATGGGGCTGGTGGTACACGAAGCACATGAAAATGAAGAAGTAGATCCAGAGCAGATGTGTGTACATGTGCAATGAAATCTGTAAAGTTAATGTCCTACACAATGAAAGTGTTTTGAATGTTCCAAAGATATCAGATTCGAAAACCTTTTATCTCTCTTTTTCTTCATGACTTTCAGGAATACTATTAACCACATTTAAAAGTTTCTTTCAAGGCTTTCCAAACAAAAAAGTTAAGTTCATTAAGAAAAGTCAGCCCTTTCTATCACAGCGATTTTTTTGTCTACCACAAATTTCTGATAGAAGATGAGAAATAATCATTAATTTCATCTTAAGCCCAACTATCTGGATATAGAAAGAGTACCTGGTTAGTTTTTAGGTTTCAAATTTGGCCTTTCGACCTTTCTTATCATTTTGAAGTGTGCACTTTTCTTTACCACAGTTAACTTCCAGATTAAGTTATAATTGCATTGAAAGAAATTATATGACCTTTAATTCGGCATCTCCATAAGCCTGTCACTGTTTATGGATTTTGTTTATTGGCTTTTCGCCCGAAGTGAGTGTAATTTTCAAATTCTCTTTGACACACCCTGAAGGTTCGACATTACTCATCATTGAGAATTCAGAATTAGATCATCAACATCCGGGTAAACACATCTGCAGCAGTTTCTCTGTTGGGAGACGAGAGAATGTTGTCTAGAGAACTGATTTTATTCAGTTAAAAGCCCTCATTGCATTTTGTGAAGAACTGCCTGATTAGCTGTTTCTCAGTAATGAGATTAGAGATTAGGTTCAAACATATTACTCTTTGATCTTCAGCCGGATTCTTAAGACGAGAATAGGTACTGACATAGCTTTACGTGTTTTGTTTTTTTTTTTGTTGTTTTTGTCGTTTTGTGTTGAATTTCACGCAAGGTTACTCGAGGACTATCTGCGCTAGCTGTCCCTAATACTGAAATGATAAACTAGAGGTAAGGCAACAACTCAAAACCACCCGCCTCTAACTCTTGGGCTACTTACTCCTTTTTTGTTTAGTGATTTACCATCATATTATATCGCGCCCACGGCTGAAAGAACGGCCTTACTCGGCGGCAGGTTTCAATCGGACAACCCGCAGGTCGCCCTAACCGTTAGGCCCTTTACATGGCAATGACCTACTAGCGAAATATTTTCACGATGTGGATATACGTTTCTAATGTCATAATTAAACCTTAGGTTTTAGCCTCAAAATTTTCGTGTCTTCCTTATTAAAAGTTCAAATTTTTAATAAACATTTTTCCTAACAAAATATTTACAATAAAACAATCGCCTTATTTTATTCGAAATGAACAGTTTGAAAGAAGATATTTGGGCATTTCAGTCACATGTGGAGCTTTCGAGATGATGGAAACTAACAAGTCACAACACGCTATTGGAAAGTGGCCACAAATGTCTCAAACTTTCGTTATTAGAAAGTAATAGCTGTTTCCAAGTCAATGGGACAGTTGCTCAGACGTCCAATGGGTAAGTCGGATCAGCACAAGCCATCTGTCAGTTATGGTCATTTTAACAGCTATTCCATCATGATAAATCATTTTGGGTGTTATCTATCTTGTGCTTTGTTGTATATGAATAACTTCAAACCAATCAGGTGTAAGAAAGCTAACCAATTAGATTTTTGCTACATCTTCTAAACATTGATTTGACTTAGTACATGAATTTATCCAACCAGTATCAAGTTTAATCTCTGTTAGCTCGTGACTGATTAACTGCATTATAAAGTGAATTTGCCATGGTTGTACATGATCAATGGACGTTGATCATATGAAAAATATTCACGAGTAAGAAAAGTTTGGCTTATGCCAGTGAACTATGTTTTGCTGGAAAGGTCTTGGAACAACCTTTAAAGTAATATTAACATTTTTTTGTAAGTTATCTCCCACACGAAAGGTCATATAATCTGGCGTTTTTACATCTCTCTAGACGCATTCTTACTGAGTAGGGCATGCATCAGGAAGATTTTCTTGCACATGCACATTCTGCAGCCATAGCACAATTTTGTCATTCGCATATGTTTCATGTTTCATGAACCCATAATGGGGAACGAGGGGTTGAAATGGGATTTTTTTCTTTCAAATTTCTAAAACAAAATTCAAAATAAGTCACAGTATCTTTCTTCAGCTTTTGGACCATAGATAGTATACGTATGACAAATACTTTAAAAGTTTGTCAGGCTTACTCTTTATGGAGTCATTATACGTAGTTTGTTCCGCTATCTCCACAGGATTTGATCCAGTTCAAGTGGTATGACTGTATGCAAACTTGACATAATAAACAAAACAACAACAAATAGAGATTAAATTTGATGAATTATAGATTGATTCATCTGTAAATTTTTTGTTATTTCTTTACTTTTAACTGCACCGTACTCTAGCACTCTTTTAATCATAGTGATAACTATTTAAAGCAAAGAGAAGTTAAAGATGTATTTTTTAAGCTGCTTTTATAGGTTATTAATTGTTATTTATGGGGCGCATGTCAAAGAGTTATTTATTTAATTACTGTATTCGAATTCATTTATGATATGTACTTTCTTCTTGGTATTTCGGAATATAATGCATTGGATATACAAAAGAAACTTTCACTACTTTTGACTTCTTTAAACTAATCCTTATCTAAAATGGTTTGTGTGTTCATATTATTATTATGTAATAGCAGAACAAATAAAACAAAAACATTGTGTCATGGTTTTCATCATAATCGTATTTCTATGAAATTTCATTAAACCTTTGAGGAAATCACAGCATATTCACAAATACATTGTGAGGTTTAAGCCTTTCCTATTTAGAATATATTATGTTCCTCTTCCTTTTTAGTTCATTTCATATTTAGTAACTAATTTAAGTACTAAAAATTGTATCCTACAAATGAATATTCACTACAATGTGTTATAATTAAAAACAAGGCACATTTCATACACCTCTAGCTATGCATGTGATGTTTAACAGATGTAATCAACAAACACCCACTGCTACACCACGATTATAATTAAGGAAAGCAGAGAAAATAGGGTATAAAATATTTAGTTTTATTCACAAATATATTACGAAATCATCCAGTGACTTTTTTATTTTTGCTTAACACTGTATACAGTGAATTATTAATTTCTGTGAATTTTTAACCCCTCTCCTATTAATGAAGAAATTAATGACTACTGTAGGATTTTGTCCTATTAATTGCGTTTCTCAGGTAATAGTATCCAACACACTTATTTATGAAGTTATAAAACGCATTTTGAATATAAAATATTCTTATTAAGCTGATTTAAAGTTTATTTTCAATTAACAGTTATTTAATTATCAAATGATCTGTCGATATCAGGTTATCATCTAGGTTCGAAGTAAACCCATTTTGAATGCATAATCTTTGAGTTATTGTATACAGTTAAATAACGGTAAAGATTTTAATTTTTTACTCTTTTGGTTTGTCAGGCTGTTCAGCTTTCGACAGCGAGTTTAGTAATCGATGCGAAGTACAAGTGGGAGAAATTCTCTCTACGATGTATGACAGGTATTCAAGACTGGATACGGGCGTCACTTGTTCGTCAAAACCTGTTAAATAATCATACATATTAAAACGAAAGAAAAATATATAGTAATATCTAGTTAAATCTAGATGTAGAAGAACATGTAAAATAAATTCATACAATTTTTTTTTCTGATACTGATTTCTAATATTATTTTCATTTATTTAGAGTCATTAAGTTGGCAATGCCCAAAGCGAATATAATTTGCTTAGGATTTTTCCTGCTCAAATAAAACATCATTGTAAAAAGGATTAAACTACAGTATGATCCAATAAACGGACTTGAAGATGATTTTATAGATGTACAAGTTAGTCTTACCGGGAAGTTGAACTATGAACTACAAATTGTATCGTGCAGATTGGACTCCTTGTCCTTGACCGAGATGACGTGCCACCTAAGTTTTTAAAGTCCTGACATCCAAACGTAAATTTCAAACGCATTAAATTCTTAGAAATTGTTCCATTTATCTCAGTCAAAAATAATATACGAAAATGGAATGAAAATTCCTTTTTTTTGCACTTTAAGAGTAAGGATACTTGTATAGTTGACGTTGAAACATTAAATAAAAAAGTAAAGTTATTAGGTAAAGTTATCGACACTACACTGGAAACGTAGATACATATTGTTTCGTCTCCGTTCGTTAGTTAATTTTCCGTAAAAATTATTTCCGAAGAAACTCTAACGATACAAGTCCTCTCTTAAATAAAACTGGTTTGTTCTTTCTGAATACAACTTTGCAATACACTTAATTTCAACAGTCGCGGTATAACCAACGCTATAACCACAACGAACGTCTCACGTGCCCAACAATATTCTCTGTCCGCATACATTCAATTACTCATTACCTTATTGCCGTCACGTTGTGACCGTCTTATATATAAAAGATTACCGAGATCTAGTAAACTCCCGATATTTCAGGAAGGAACGTGAACGTTCGAGAAGCTTGTGGCGTGATACTAGCGTCACGTGACCTCCGATGTCATAACAATATAAACAAGCACTAACTGATGAATATCTCCAGGTGGTCATTAGTTGTCAAATATTATTTTTAGTTATTATTGAGAATCAGTGACTTCGCACGTTTGTAATGAATCCTTGAGTGCGTGAAGGTGTTGTGAGCTAGTTTTAAACCGTGCCGATCAAAATGCTTCAGTAACTGACTAAATTTAAAACGTGTTAATGCTCATCAATTTTAAGCCAGTTAAAAATATATGATGTATTGTAAATTTTAAATCTTCCTAAAAACGTTTTAAACAAAATATCCCGATAATACTGAGGTTAATCGCACTTTTATAAGAACGATATTCAAGGTTCTGTGTTGTCTTTGGAACTACTTTCATTGCCGATTGTATTCAGTTTGATGTTCATGATTAAGCACTATTATTAGACATCGTAATTTCCATTGTAACAAGCTTCTGTGAAGGACAGTGAGGCCAATCTTAGATCACAATTTTAACAAATTTTCCACAAACCCTTCACTGTATGTGAACGTCGGATTCCAAGACCATGTTTAAAGCAACCAAGGGCACAAGATTCTATACTGGACCTGCATCAGGAAACTAGACAGGTATGTAGTCAAATGGATTGCTGCGATACCACTTTCTTTGGCTAAATTTCTTATGAAAATAGCAATTGATTTCGAGGTGTGCTTGGAAGCTTTTAACTTCATGTATTTATACTCGTGTATGGAAGCACGTTATGTTAATACAATACTAAATTGACAAACAACAAACATATTATAAAAATTCGGCCTGTCTTCTTCAGAATGTTTTCTAGATAAAATAATTTTCATTATGCTTATAAATCGTTATCTCTCAATTAAATATTCAAACACTTGTTATTATCTTGTTAACTGTACCAGGAGATAGTTTCATCAGGCTTTCTGTCTCGGAAGGTTCTCTTTTGTAACCATCGTCCTCACTTTGCGGCTGAAAGGGGTTACTCCATATCCGCTTGGGATGTAGTTTTGGGGGCTCATTGCGTTCTAAACAATCTTCTATACGAAATCTGTTTTCATGGGGAATATTGACGGTCTTTATTTTCAAACATGTTTTGGCCCGGCATGGCCAGATGGTGACTCGCAATCTGAGGGTGGCGGGTTTGAATCTCCATCCCACCAAACATGGTCGTTATAATTTGACGGTCCATTTCACTATTCGTTGGTAAAAGAGTAGCCCAAGAGTTGGTGGTGGGTGGTGATGACAAGCTGCCTTCCTTCTCGTATTTCACTGCTAACTTATGGACGGTTAGCGCAGATAGCCCTCGTGTAACTTTACGCGAAATTCAAAACAAACAAACAAACGTGTTCTCAGCAAAGTTCTACATCGTTTAGCCTTTTTATTATACGAATATCCTTATTTTAAAAGTATGTGACATTTTTCTTCAGTCGTAAGATATTAAAAGTATTTATATAAAGTACGATTATTTATTTGTTTTGAATTTCGCGCAAAGTTACCCGAGGTTTATCTGCGCTAACCGTCCTTATTTTAGCAGTGATAAACTAGAGGGACGGAAGCTAGTTCATCAACGCTTGAGCTACTCTTTTACCAACGAATGGTGGGATAGACCGTCATATAACGTACCCACGGCTGAAGGGGCGAGCATGTTCGGTCGTGGAGATTCGAACCCGCGACTCGCAGATTGTGAGTCGAGCGTCCTAACCCCCCAGATGAAAGTACGATTAACCTTCTGGGTACATATTATTTCCATTACACGTGTCATTGATTTTCACATTACTTGAAATATCTTATGACATTCCCAACAACTCTATATATCGAATATCTTTAAAACTGTAGTCCATCAGAAAACTAAGTTATAATGTATACTCTAATACAACCATTGTTTTTAGAATTTCTGCACAAAGCTACACACATTGATAAGCTAAGGGGAAGGGAGCTAGTCAATAGCGTCTACAGCCAATCTTGGTTAACCGAATATTGGGAATCGGCCGTTAACACTTTTAGAATACAAAGTGCGGAGTGCGTTCTCACGGCAACGAAACGTGAACTATAAATAGATGGATTTGCAGTCCATTCACGCTAACTACATAGGCCTGTGAATTTAAACTTCATAAACGTTGTTTTGGTTTTAATAACGGATTCTCCATAATTCATCTACACAGATTTCGAAAATGATATTCATTTTTTTTTCTATCACATAATAATTTTTTTTTTTACAAATCGGGAAGAAAAACTCTTACTTAGATCAAATTATTATTTCGCTTACCACAATACATTTTTTTATTATTATGTTTGTTAACAAAAATACAAACAAACTGAAGAAAATGAAAAAACATTGATGTCAAACGAATATGCATCCTCATTCGTCCTGATTTTTGTGTGTGAAATCCACGTCTTTTAGTCTCAAACTACGTGTTGTGGTCTTTCTTTTATGTATTG